AGCACAAACAAAAAAATCAAAAAGCAGAAGCCCCAGACAGAGGGTCCTCTTCCTTTTATTGCTTCCTCTGTTCTTCTTCCTTTTTATGGTGACCGCTTGACCACAAAAGGAAGATAAGCCCAGGCACCCTTTGGCCCCCATTTTCTGAGGTGGCCGTCCCACCCTCCCGCTTATCACACGTGGTCCTCAACAGCAGCTGTTTTCTCTCCTCAGAAATGACAAGAATGCATGACTCTCCACTAGCCCGGGCCGGCTGAAACGAGAGAGTTTCACGTATCCCTTTCTATTCTTATCTGCTCAGCAAATAAATACCACCTCCAGCTGCAAGCAAGGGCTTCGGCCACATCTCCTGGAATGTTTTCTAATCTGTCTGGGATTTCCCCGAGTCCTTTAGGACGTGCGACACCACTTTCGCGGCCCTCTACTTTCCGGGGATGGTTCTCCTTTGTTGATCAGTTTGCCAAGGGGAATCCGTATGTTGTGAAAAAAATTGGGGAGACCGTCTGAGGCCATGATCTTAAATCATGTGAGGCGTAGGGAGCCACGACAAATGTAGGAGTTGTAACCACACCCAGGGAACCCTGTGAAGTGCAGAAGCTTCCAGTACAAGTCCTCTTCTTCAATGGAAGGAAATGTTTTCAGATGGTAGCAGGGTGGGTTCTGAAGACCTTAAAAGCTCCAGAATTAGAAATCAGGGGGCTGTGTGTGTAGCCCAAGCCCAACTTAATGGATGCTCGGCCAAAGACCCATTATTTATTAACAGCAAGGGCTGTGACCCTCAGTCAAGAAACTCTGCCTGATATGCTGCCTCTTTCTTCAATTTTAAAAGGCAGACAATTACTCTACCAAAAAGTATGAACTAGTTATGGATCTGTTCCTCCCAGAGATACAGATGTTATTGACCAAAACAGCAGCATTCTGCAACAAGCGCTTTCCAAATGTGTTGACTGTGCCAGCTGGGGGTGATAGAAGTTGTAGTTCAGCAAAGGATGGCAGGCTGATGAAAGCTAACCTACATTTTTAAGACAAGAGAGACATGGAATGATGAAAGAGAGAGAGAAAGAAAGAGATGCTTCCATACCTTCTCCTGGGGATGAAAACGTATGATTTATGGCAGACACAGGAACATTGGAACATTCAAAGTACTCCAGGTCTTCCTCGGGCTCACCTTTCACCTCGGATTGGGCTGGCTTCTGACCGGAGGATGTAGAAGCCAGCTTTTCTTCATCGGTGGCATGCCCATCCCGACTGGACAGGTCTGGGATTTTGGAGATAAGGGCACCTTCGTCTTCATCCTTAAAAGCAAGGAGGCAACAGGGGAGCTTGTCATCTTGGTCTGGTACTCCTCATCGTGCTGAAGGACAACCTATCAGGGGAGCCAACCTATCAGGGAGGCATGCCACATCCAGCAAGGCCAATCACTGGGAGCAGTGGTTGGAAACCAGACCTTTAATCTTTCCTTTCTACTTCTTTCCTTTCTTCTTATTTGTTTTCTCAGTCCTTAATGTACTGGTAGGTAGTAGCTTGAAATCCCTGCCTTTGTAAGAGATGAGCAATTGGTTATCTCTCTGGGAAAGGGCAAAGCTCCCTTTCTATGCAGAATATTTCAGGTTCTCGCTCTAACATCTTCCATTCAGGCATGGAGAAGGCTTCCCTCTGAAGCACCAAATTGGAATAGAAAATATCTAGGCAGATCGTTTAATTCTGGCCAGAGTTTGGGAAAGTTTTAATTAAACAAGTCCCCAAATCTTCCAGATAGTATGAGCTCAACTCATGGCAGTTAAAGGATTTTAGAGGGTTCAAGTCCAGCCAAGTAACCCAATCAATCATCTGTCTGTCTGTCTCTCTCTCTATTTATCCTATCTATCTATTTATCCTATCTATCTATCTATCTATTTATCCTATCTATCTGTCTGTCTGTCTGTCTGTCTGTCTGTCTGTGAAGTTCACAATCATCTAAAACAATCATATAAAAAACAAAACACAAAATTATGATCAACCAATCAAGTGACGGAAATATAGGATGAAAAATGGCAGAGGCATATGCACACAGAGAGCAGGAAAAAAAGATAAAGAAAATAAAATGGAGCGGGGTTACCAAAAAAGGAGGCCTCTCCATACAGCAGAGTTTTCAAAGATTTTTTTTTTGAAAGTTGGGAGGGAGGGGGCCAGGTGCACTTCCATCAGAAGTGGGTTCCATAATGTTGGAGCCACCACAAAGAAGGCCCTAATAAAAGATTTCTTGGCCTCCCTTGGAGTGGCTACTTGGAGGATCAAGGCCTGGATGAACCTAGTGGGTTGGGTGGATGACCTTAGGAAAAGGCTCTCCGATAGCTAATGTGACCCCAAACCGTGAAGGGCTTTGATTGTCAAGACCTTAAATCTGACTCAGGATGGAACAAGTAACCAGTGCAGATGAGCCAAGACTGGGAAGATGTGATCAAACCTGCATCCACCCATCCACCCAGTCTGGCTGTCGCATTCTGGACCCTTTGCAATTTCTGGGTCAGACCCAAGGAAAGCCCCACACAGAAAGTATTGCCGTAGTCAATATGGGAAATGACCAATGCACACACTGAGTCCCAAGGGACTCTTCCAGCAAGAAGCGGCAGAGTTGGACAATACACCTCAGCTGGATGAGGGCAGCTCTGGACCCAACTTTCGCATATTCCAGTTCTGATTTAACCAGCTCCTTATGACTGCCTCCCTTTCTCTTTCTGCTCTTCCTTCTTTTGGATTGTAGCTCATGGTAGAGTCTGAGGTTCAACACTGGCACCTCCAAGTTAGTTTGAGAAAGATCTCTGTCTGAACCCTGGACCACCCCTGTCCATCAGTGTCAACAACAATATTGTAGGCTGTGTTGGGTCCTCTTGATGAGAAAGAGGGATATAAAAATTTTAAGTAGATAAATAATAATAATAAACGGACCTGAACTCAAGGGACCAAAGATCTGGTTCACTATAAGGTGGATTTCAAAGCAGTTTGCAAGACAGTTGGACGACAGGTGAAAATATAATGACAAATGTTAGAATACAATTAAAATGTAATTCTACCACTAGAGTGCAATTAAAGTTAAAACTCTTTAAAATCAATTAAAAACCAGCAATCATCACTTTGCATAAAACTATAAAATAACATGTCTCCCTATTGAAAGCTGATTCAAAGCATTGATGATATGGAGGAAGTGCCACAAAAATTCATGTCTACCCCATACCTGAGAGCAAGCATCGAGAACCAGGGACTGCGTTTCATATTTCTTCACTTTGCAGCCACTCCTGCATAAAGAAAGGGGGAACAGATCAGCGTGGGACTTTCTGATTTCGGGAAGGAGAAGAGAGCGGAGAGGGACCTGAGTCGAGGACAGGAAGTGACAGCAAAAGGAAAGGTACATCCAGAGCTTGTATCCACTTTGTTGAAATGGCAAGTTCAAGCACTCGGTGCAAGAAAGAAGCCGTGGCTCATGTTCTTTTATATAGCCAAAGAACAGGGGAGAAGACCAGCAAGGGCCTTAGCACTCAGAAGTATTTACAGTAGGACCCCCTTATCTGCGGGATCGGTATCTGCTGATTATCACAAAGTCTTAAAAGAAAAATCCTACAAATGAGTATTTTGAAAGATGAATATTTTGAAAGATGAAGTATCAGAATGGAGGGTGTCAGAGACCATGCCATGTACAGTGTTCATTATTAAAACCATTCATGAAAGATGAGTATTTTGAAAGATGAACTATCAGAATGGAGAGTGTCAGAGACCATGCTATGTACAGTGTTCATTATTAAAACCATTCACTATAATCCAAGTTTTTCAGGATCCAGGAGGGGTTTTGGAGGCAATCCCCCATGGATAGAGAGGTCCTACTGTATACTTCTTATTCTTCTGAATATGCAATTTTCCGGGCACATTCAACTATGAACACAGGACCACACGTAACGCCACCTCAATATGTGTGCGGTGGAGAGAGAGAGGATTTTTAAAAACCAGAACTGAACTTCAGGTAGGTCCTAACTACTCATACCCTTTCATTTATATGCAGAAACACGCTACGATGCAAGTGTTAACCTGCAGGAGATACCAGTCTCTCCTCAGCTGCTGCAAGTCCAACTTTGGGAGGTTCTCGGGAAAGGCGGTACAGTATTATTCTGGCAAACCTCTTCCCTTTCCTTCAAATGAACCAGTGTTTGGGGGGGAAGGAAAAGGAAAGAAACCAGCCAACTCCCAACCTCCGGCTCTGCAGCCCGAGACCCAACTCACTGAGCTACCCAGCATGTTTTAATGGAGAGCAAAAAGGACTGAAACTATTGAACAACATAGTGGCACCACGAGAATGCAGAAGCTGCGATGGACGGCTGGAAACCAGAATGAGTATCCGACTCAACCCACCCAACACCACCTCATGTGTCCTACAGAGAAACAATGGCCAGAGTTTGGAAGAAATGGCAAACCAGGCAGGTGCCAAGGGGAGATGTTTATGACTAGAGATGGAGGTATTCGTATACGGATATCCCCGCACAGGTGGTGTTAACGAGGGTCCAGCCCCATGGGGCTGGACGGTCCACTCACCGATCCCCTTTGGACGCGGAGGGTGCGATTCTACCAATGGCTCTGTGCTGCCAGGTTGAAGCGTGGCGAGCGGATCATGCATTGTAGAGCCATTGGTAGAATCGCGGCATCCGCGTCGGATCGGTGAATGGACCATTGAGGGCTGGACCCTCATTAACGCCACCTGTGCGGAGATATTCGAACACGAATGCCCCCATCTCTATTTATGACCATTACCGTGTGGTCTTCCACTGTATATCCAAGGAATCAAGGCTTGCATGACCACAATCTTTACCATCCCCCCGATCCCTCAACTTTTTACACGTTTTGCCAGAAAAAGATGCCAACTCTTTCATCTCTGCCTTCCCTTCCTCTTTCTTCATTCCCTTTCTGAATGCTTCCATCAGCAACTGCTTTTTTAAGCGGAGAAAATGTTACACCCTCCAGTATTCTCCATTTTCTACTTCAAAAAGCATGTTATCAAGAAGAGGGTCTTTGAATCTTTTGTGCTGCTGCACTTAAGAGAAACTCCAGCGTCATGGCAGGCATGCAAGAAAGAACTGCCTGAACAGATGTGTTTTCTGCTTTGCTTTCTCCCACAGGCGTACTCCTCAGTGGTGTAAAAAAATAAATCTTTAGGTCTTTGACTCTGTGTTGCCACCACCTTAACCCATGGCATGCTTGCTCCTTTTTGATAAAAGCAAAGAACAGACAAAAATCAAGCTGCCTTACAAATCGATAAAATATGCAAAAGGTAATAGGAAGAACAGAAAAAACAGATGTATAGTGAAAAACGACATGTCCCTCCAATAAAAGGTTATTCAAAGGAAAAAAACCAGCTGGTTTACTGCCCGTTAAAGCCAACAGGAAGACTGCATACAAAACGGGAAAGCAGTGGCCAGCCTTCTGCAACTTTTCACTTTCTAGATGGGGTAGACTACAACTTCCATCGTCCCCAACCAATGCCAGACTGGCAGAGGTGACTGAAGAGTGGCAGGCTAGAAAAGGCAGTCCTAAGTCATCCATGTGGCTTTCTGTGTGTGTTTATACTATACCAGTTGCAGGTCAGTCCTTGAACTGGAAGAGTAGCCCTTATCCAGTTTTATAGCTTCACAAGAAAAGCTTTGGGTTCAAGTCTTGCCATTTCTAGGGAAAATACCTTTTCCTGAAACAACCTCTGGAGGGCTTCTAATAGCCAGTAGAACTGCAGGTAAGAGTTTGGAGCAAGAAGGATCACTCAGTATCAGGCAACTGCCCATATCAGTTTCATCTTAAAAATAAATGCCTTTTCTAATACAGTAGGACCCCCCTTATCCGCGGGATCAGTATCTGCTGATTCAGTTATACACAGTCTGAAAATATTAAAAGAAAAATCCTAGAAATATATAGTGAAAGGTGAAGAACTTGCCACTAAAGGGAGCCAGAGACCATCTTATACAAAATGTTCACTATAATCCACTGTTTTCAGCATCTGCAGGGGGCTTGGAACCAATTCCCCCATAGATATGGGGGTCCTACTGTAATTTTGGTTCAAAGACATGGGAAAGAAGGCACCATCCAGTACATAATTTTCTGAGGGCATACTTTCACACACAGCAAATATAAGGAGACACACAGACACACATACTTGATTGAATGCACGTTAATTCAGCAAAAACTGTGCATGGGGACAGCCACAGCGCAAAAAGGCAGCATCAGAAACATGTTCCAAAAGAAAAAGGCCACACTACAATACCACTGGTGGGATGGTGCTTGCTGATGATTTTCTTCTTTACCCTAGACAAGGTGAGGAAGCAAAATGCCAGAAGGGACAGAAGAGGGAAACAGATGGAAGAACACAGCAGAAAGCATTTTCCAGAGCACAAGCGCGAGGCTGGGAGTGAAGGGTGAGGTTGGCTCATGCATTCTCAGGTGGCAGCCGCACCAAAGTGATTTCTAAGGACAATCTTTTGGATAGCCACCTTCCTGGTCACCTGCGGTGAGTAAGAACCTCCCTCCTGGTGACCAGGCGAACTGTCCATCAATTTTTCTCTTCGAGCAAACAATTTAAAGGTTGGGAGTCATTCCTCCTGACTTTTCGTTTCACCAGGCATGGATTTGAAAACGATGCTTGGTTTCAGAAAATGTTTTGTGTCTCTGTTTCTACGATTTTATCAGATTTTACCACAAAATACTTTAAGGGCCCTCTTAGGTATAAAACCAATGAAGAACTATTTTGAATAAAATAAGGTATTCCTTCCACAGGTGCATGTGGGCAGCTGAGCTATCTGGACAGAATGATTGCCAAATCTTTTTGGGGCTACAAAGGGACAACCTGTTTCCATCTCGGGCAGCAAGAAATGAGATGCCAGGTCTCCCTAGAAAACCTAAACAGCCCTGGGTCGACTTAAGTCCTAAGATGGGATGGGAACAGAAATGAGCTTGACCTGGAAAAATGATGACTTGTGGGTGGTTTGTGGCTATCCACAAACCACAAACTACCCCCAAACCCTGGAAAAACAAATCTGTTTGTGATTCCTTTTTGTGGTTTGTGCCCATCTCTAGACAGGATGTAGTTTCCAAGGTAGAGCACAGATGTTGGATGTTTAAGTTCCCAGGCTGAGCATCTGGAACAGCTGGGCTGGTTTCAGGACTGCAGAATATGTCAACATCTGGAGGGCAGCAGGCAGTGGAGACTGGTTGACTCCAGTTTCATGAGGGTCATGAATCCATACCTGATTTTCACCGAGCCTTCCTAGTGCTATCCAGGGTGCTGAAACCTGTCTCTAAAATGTGTTTGGTGCATTGAATAGCTCCTTTAAAGTCTGGACTAAAAAAACACAGAGGATGCACTGGAATGACAGCCTATACTGGTGGGCACACCACCTGCGGATCCCTGTGGTAGCTCATTTCTCCACCCTGGCTTTGTGTCCTGCTGGTAGCTATAAGGGAATGTCACCCTCTGTAACCATCACTTAGTTGGTCATGGAGAAGATCTCACCCACAGCTGTCAATGCAAGGAAACTTTCAGAAAGAACAGGTCAAGAATTTTAGACTTAGGAATGAGGCTTGAGGGGGAGGCGCTGATGTTTTAAAGCAATGAAACGTTGTCTCCCAACAAACATGCTGTAACATCAAAGGCAACCATCGTCCCCTCCTCATTCCATCACAAAGCCAAGCTGTTAGATGAAACCATGTCTTCTACAAGGGAGGTTGAGAAAGCAAACCCAGTATTTTTTAAAAAATGAAATAAAGGAAGCTGCATGCATTGGAAGGAAGGAAGGAAGGAAGGAAGGAAGGCCAAAAGAAGCAGCTCCCAAACCAAAAAGGAACAAGGAAGAAAAAAAAGGAAAGAAAGAGTACTTACAACAGAAAACAGAGAAATTTCACTTGTTCAGTAGTCCTGATGCACGAAAATGAACAGAGAGGAAAGACAGGTAGAGAAAGGTGGAGAGGAAAGATGATGGAAGAGGGAAAGAAAAAGGTATATGAAAGATCTGGATATATTTCCTCTCTCCATAAATGCAAGTTATCTTATGAGTAGGAAAAGCATGCAAAGAAGAGATGTAGAACATCAAGTATGTCTGCTGTTAAGAGCGAAGGAAATCTCTGAGCCAGTGGCCTGGGTTTATAGCCAGGTATGTGCAAAGAGGAGCTTGGAAAGTAATTCATCCATTGAAATCCCTCCTGCAGCTACCTGCCATTATAGTTACAACTTTTAAAACTCAATTTTAAAACTGTTTACATGACTGTTTCTCCTTCTTAAAAGTCAGTAACAGATAAGCCACTGCCTGGTGATAAGAGAGATAATCCCCTCAGTACTTACAACTGAGCAGAAAAGCAGCAGCATGAAGTGCAGTAAAACTACAACTCATTCCCTCATCCATCCAGGGAGGTTGTGTTCCTCTAACTAGAAGAGTAACTAAGAAGTTACCATTACACAACAACAAGAGTGATACCCTGCCTCATTGCCATTTTGTAACTTATTACAATTGTAATATAATATAGTTAGGCCTTAGTTACTCAGTGAAGGAAGTAATTACAAGTAACTAGTTATTTTGCAAGTAGTTCATTCCAAGCTCTTCTGAAATCACTGACTATAGGTGAGTCAGATATATCAGAATGCTATACGAGGTATAGGATTGAATATCCTTGTAAATCTGTGCTTCTAACTTTAGAGGACGTATCTAGACACAAGGCTAACCCTAATAACTGCCAAGATCTGCGTAAACGAGCAAGTCTTGCTCTGATCTCAGAGGAATGTCTATACAAGATTACCAATGGCTGGCGGGCATCTGGATGCAGCAGTAAACTGGTACTTAAATGTGACTAGCAAAGCATTACCCAAAATATTACATGAAAGCACAGAAATGCAGAACTGTAAAACTAAAAGACAGCATGAAACAGGGACGGTTTTTGCATAAATCAGATAATTCAGCTCGGAGAACGGACCTTCACAGCAGGGCTCCAGTCCAGGGGTGGGGGTGGGGGTCTCCAGGGATGGAAGGGCTGTATTCTGCACCCAAAACCCACAGGGGTTGGGAGCAGCTGCACGCTACTTTGCCCCCTGACTTTCTCCTGTGCTGCTGAGTTTGCCATGGCAGGAACGCGAAAGCCCACTCACAATCCACTTTTTAAAAAATGGGACAATTAACCTCAGGACAGACGGAGGGCCAATTCCCCCTCCTCCCTTAACACTCCAGAGGCCACATTAGGCCCCATTTCAAAAAGAAGATGGAATTAGCCTTGAGAAAAGGAGACTGGGGGGGGGGTTTATATGAGAGCACTTTTCAAAGACTTGAAAGGCTGTCCTACAAAAGAGGGGCAGGATCTGTTCGCCATCATCCTCGAGTGCAGGACACACAGCAATGGGCTCAAATTACAGGAAGCCAGATTTCGGCTGAGTATCAGGAAAAACTTCTTAACTGTTAGAGCAGTACAACAAGGGAACCAGTTACCTGGGCAAGCGGTGAGCGCTCGAACGCTGGAGGCCTTCGAGAGAAACTGGGACAACCAATTTGTTGGATACATCTTGATTTGGATTCCTGTCTTGAGCAGGGGGTTGGACCTGATGGCCTTACAGCCACCTTCCAACACAATTATTCTATGAATTCCAGATTCTAAAACATTACCACTGGGTTTTGTGTGTGTGTGTGTGTGTCATGGAGTGAAGTACATGATTTAGTGGCCAAAGCACTGCTCCCGAGGGTTTTCAGAAGTAGAAAATCACCTTCCCCCCCCCATAGAAACTTGGGAACTGGAGGCCACTTCAAACCTACTAAAATGTGTGTGTGAAGAGCAATGCCATGTAACCCATAGGGGACACACTGCTCATGGTGTGTGTGTGTGTGTGTCTTTTTTCATGTATATGATTTGTCTATACAGAGAAGTTTCAGCTTCTCATGGTTCCTCAGCGCCAGCAACCTATGGGCTACATGACAATGGAAAGAAAAACAACCAAATCCATATGAATATTATTTCTGCTTTGCTGGCTTTCTGAAAGGGATAATGGATTTTTTTACACCCAAGGTCGTCTGACTTCTGACCTTTTCTCAGTCCAGCCAGGACTGGCTCTACCCTGGAGGCAGGCAGAACGGGGATAGCTGCCTTTGTGTCATATATGCCAACCTTCATCTTCCTACAGCTATGGAAAGGGAGACATTTATTTGATAGTATTGCTTTGTATTGCATGGTTTGTTTGTGCATTAGTTTGTTTTTAATTTACGGAGTTATCTGTATTTATGTGCTCAGAGAGTACACATACATAGCATGACTGGGCAACAAATAAGCTAAAGAAATAAATAATTTTAGGTGCAGAAGATCAGAGAGGTTCCAGGACATGGTTATCTTAATTCCCCTTCCTCTGCAGTCCCAAATTATAGGCAAACTGGCACTTACTCTCAAAGAAACCTCCTATGTATAGATATGTTTATACAGTATAATGTAAAAGCATACATTGGAATCTAATTTAAGAAGCTTTTGTCTGAAAAGGCAGCTGGAAAGTATTTTTAATAGATAAATTCCACTCCCAGAATCCTGTTTTAAGGGCCGTAAATCAATGATGATGATGAAGGACAGAATACCTGAGATTTCCTAAATCCTGCTCAGGCAGTCTTAAAGAATGGATTCTGCATGTCAGGCGGTTGCTTCACCACTAAGTCGGAAAAGGGGGGGGAGGCTCCCCTATCTATATAGACAGCCCATATCACATCTGGAATACAACAGGACTGGTGTCCTGCCTCTTGTGAGAAGCCTAAAGCAGCCTTCCCTCCTTCAGATCGCTGCCTGTCTCATAACAACGGAGTGGATGAGGCCAAAGAACCGACAGCATAGAGCAGTGGGTTATCAATTTAGGATGCCATGTTGTTGGACTACAAGTCCCAGAAACCCCGGCCCGCACAGCTGGTGGTGAAGGATTCTGGGAACTGCAGTCCAAGAACACTTGGGTTCAACAAGGTGGGGAACCACTGGCATAGAGCTTATAAGACCCTGGAGCTTATCAGTCTCTTCCTGGAGTGTACCATTCCAGCAAGTAGATAGGGAATCCTATTGTTTTCCATCGGGGGAGAAATTCTATACATAAAAACAAAAAGGAAAGGCTGTTTTCTGAAATGCTGTTTTATGTGCAGGATGTTTTTAATGCACCGAGGATGTAAATCCTTGCTTCTCCCTGTTCCCGGTGTGAGAACAGAAAACTGGACATTTTTTTCTCTCTCTTCACCTTCCAAGGCATTTTTTGGTATTTTAAATCTCAGAAAATAGCCAGTGTCAATAGCTCAAGTAATTCTGTCAGGACTGTGCTGGACAAGTTACAGTACCTTCTGGGAGGACCTTTGCTGGGTGAACACTGAAAAATCAAGAAGCCTATGATGGGTTGCTTTCATCTTTCTCTGATCCATTAGTCAGTCTTGCTGTACAAGCTGTGTATCTGTTTTGCTGCACCAAGGATGCTAACACAAGTTTGGTGCAGACACATTTTGTGCTACTTGAGCTGGAAGGGACCCTATGGAAGGTCTCGAGTCCACCTCCTGTCAAGAAGGCACAGTGGGGGGATCAAACTCCCAACCTCTGGCTCTTTTCCCAATGAATTTAAACCAAATCCACTCCTCATTCATAGGCTTGGGAAAAAAAAAATTAAAACTGGGTTTGCCAACTTCTAGGAATGGGCCCAAGGCATAGTTAAAAACCATCACAGTGCATACATTGCCACCATTCCTGCTGAATTTATGCAGTGCCTTTTCCCTGTTTGACTTTAAAACAAGAAGCACGGACAGTATGCATCATATTTTGAGCCAAACTAAACCTCTGGATGACTTTGGGATTTGGCTCGGAAACAAGACTCGCGGTCCGTGTAGACTTTGTTTTTAGAGATATTACAGGGGAATGGGGGCTGGTGCCACCATAGAAAATTCAACAAGGTGGGAGAGGGCTGCTGCAAAAAATGGAATGGGGGGAGGGCAAAATATATTCCGTGGCCCATGTGTTACCCACCTTTGTTTCAAAGCAGTGGTTCCTAACCTTGGGTCCCCAGATGTTCTTGGACTAAAACTCCCAGAAACTTTCACCACCAGCTGTGCTGGCCAGGATTTCTGGGAGCGGTAGTCCATAAACATCTGGAAACACAAGACATAAACCTCTGCCTTAAAGGGTTTTCTTTATTTATTTACTTAAAATATTTTGTATCCCACCTTTCCTCTTAAAAATAACCCAAGGTGGCAACCTTCTCCTTGTGTGAGGCCTTTTTGGGGATGTTCCAGCTTTCCCTGCTTGGCTCTTTCTACCAGGCCTCTTCCCCAGAAACCTCTGAACACAGATGTTCCAGAGACATTACCCTGCGCTCTCTGTAGAGACTCACTGGAGAACAGGGTCTGGCCAGAGCAGAGACTCGCACAGAGATACAGCAGAGAGCGGTGTGTTTACCCATGACCTCAGTTCTTGAGTTTGAGAAAGTGGACGGTCATCTGCAAAAGGTTACACTGGGATAAATTTGCTGGTTTTTAAATATGGCACAAGCCTTTTGCTTTTTGTTTCAATGATACAAGGACTGTTCTAAGGAAGCGACATCCCAGCATGCCACTTAGACTTGATTCAATTGGGGGTTGAGGGCACCTTGGCTCCCCACCCCCCAGCATCATGCTGCTCCCTTGGGCTTTCACAAAAGAGGATGCCGTCATCCAACTGCCTGCAAAGGGAACTTTACTGAGAATGAAATGCACTGCCTTTGAATTCAAGCACTGCCCTTCTGGTGCTCTATAAATCCCAATCCCCAAGGACTGCTGCCACTCACGTTATCAAACGTGACTTGGTTTTCTTTGGTGAGGCAAAGCCTGGCTTCAGTGCGTCGCCCATGCCTTCCAGCTTCTGGGACTCCAAGATCTCATTGAGGCTGTTCTCGGTCGAAGGGCAGGTGTCCGCGGCCACGTCGGCCAAGGTCTTGGTGGGCTTGAACGGGTCTGCCACCTCCAGATTATAGGAACCTTTTGGGAGAGGTGGGGAGCTCGACAATTTGGAGCCCCCCACAAATGGGTTCAAGTTGGGATCCTCCCGTTGGCTGCCATCGGTCGGGTGGGAAGCCCTGGGAGGGAGCGCCTCAGAGGGATCCCCTGGAAATGTCTTCTCTCCACCCTCAGTTCCCACCACTGGACGGTTGGTGCTCCCTCTTTGTCTCTTTGGAGACAACTTGCTGGCTGGCTTCCTTCCCGCTTTCCTCGAGGGGATTTTCTTGGGCTCGGCGTTTTCTGCCCCTTCGTTAAAATCAAATTCCAGTTTCACAGCCCGGCCCTTGGACTCGCCAGGGCCATCCAAAATGGAGTCCGCAGTGTCTCTCTCTGGAACAGCAAGACCATGCCGAGACACAGGGGGAGAATTTTGGAGTTTGGAGCCTCCCATTACAAACGGGTTCATATTTTCATTGTACTCCTCAGGGTCAAAGAGGGAGGAAGCTTTGGGCACAGGGATGCTCTCCGTGGCTGTTTCAGTCTCCGGATTCTCTCCTCCCATTTTCTTCTGCAGAACAACTGGTCTGGCCCTTGGGAGCTTGCTCTTGTTAAGGACGGGCGTCTCACTAGTTGGCTTGGTTTCGGAAGATCTTCCAGCGGCTTTGCTTTCCTGAGATGCCCCTTGTGGGTCTTCTTGAGTCGCTACGGGCACGGCACTTGCTGAGGTCCGATCTGGATCTGATCTTGGCGAAGAAGCGTTTCCCACTAGAACAGCCGGGGGCTGATCTTCAGATAGCTCTGTCTCAGGAGCGGATGGAGTCATGGATGAACCTCTACCGAGCCCAAAGTTGGCTTCTGAGGGGAACGAATCAGCTTGCGAGACTGCAGCATCTGCCTGCGATTCATCATCTGCCAAAGCGGAGCCCTTCTGATGCAAGTTCTCCTCCAAAACCTTGGCTGTCAGTTGCACATCATCTTCATGTGACGCTGGAGGCATAAAACAGAAAGAGACGTGAAGAAGAGTTTCCCTGCAGGAGCAACATTTTTTTCACCTTGTTTTAAGACCAAGACACATCTCGACACGCCAACTTTCAATCGACAGCTCAATTTTTTCCACCCTGGTTATCATCAGAAAGAGTAAACCCGTATCTACCCTGGACCACTTCAAGCTGCAGAGAAAATTACCACAAATGAAGATTTCACCAGCCACAACACTGAATTATAAGATCCCTTCAGCTAGAAAACTATGGTGCCATGGAGATGTTCTGTAGCCTAGCTTCCATCAAGAATGTGTGAAAGATCTATCTCTCTATCCATCCGTCCAGCCATCTAGCCATCTAGCCATCTACTCATCCATCCATCCATCCATCCATCCATCCATCCATCCATCCATCCGATGATCCACCACCATACCAACGTCAACACACCTATTCCAGTCTCATTTCAGAAGCTACACAGGGCTGAAGTGGCAAAGTCCATGGATGGGAGACCATCATGGAATGCCAAGCACCTCCGGGCAGGGCTAGGAAAGAATCTGCATAAAACCTAGGGGAGAAACAAATAGAGTGGACCATATTGTTCTAAATGGACTAGTCATCTCTCTCAATGTCATACAGACCTGCCTACTCTAGCTCTCTCCAGTTGGATGCCCACCAGGTGTGTTCTGCAGAAAACAAGGGAGGCAATGGGGCAGCCCCACTTCAGATGCATATTTTCTCCAGAAAACCACTTTCTAAAATTACGAGAGCGATAAAACCCAGTGATCCATGGTGTCCCAATTTGCCAATTAGATCAAGGGAGTGCCAATTAACTGAAAAGGGAACCCAACACATTTTGACTGCTCATCCCTGGTCTTGGAAAGGAAACTACTCTCCAAGGTCAAGTCATTCATTCCTAGGATGCTTCCGTCAAAAATATGTTGCTACCTGTGAAGATGTTTGCAATTCCCTTCTTACTGCCAGACTTGAGAACTGTCTGGGCTTGCTTAAAAAACTCTTCACTTCCCCAAGCAATTTTTAAAAATGTTTTGGATGAGAAAGAAAAAAATGGTTTTCTATGAGATGAATGACTGGCTGTATCGAGTTTCTGGCCAAATTTCCAATCTGGTGTTATCACCAAGATATTTTCCTGCCTGAGGCGAAAACCAAGGTGGCTCTTTCCATATTCCATGACCTGGACGGGCAGTCAGACTTTACTTCAATTGTGGTGATGGGGCAGTGTGTTCTATCGTACTAGTTTAGAGAGTAACACAAAGCTTGTGTGAACACACAGAGTTGAACGGCTAGGAAACTACATGGCTGTCCCCTGTCCCTCCTCCTCTAGCATCCATCTCTTGAGCTGGCTGTCACATTCTGCCTAAGGGTAGGGCTGGCCCTGTTCTTTCAAATGTGACACATGCTTCTTCTCACATCGAGTGCCCTCCCACCGGGTTTTTCATTCATTCATTCATTCATTCATTCATTCATTCATTCATTCATTCATTCATAACATGTATAGCCCACCCTATATCACAGGATATCAGAGCAGGTTAGAGTTGTGGAAAATGATTTAAAAGCAAATGATGTTCAAAGAAATTTTAAATTAACTCATTGAAAACACAATGTCAAAACATTAAAACTACTGAATTAAAACCTATACAAGCCACGATCCTTTATTCCCAAAGGTTCTAGTACATGGGTATGTTTTGACTTGGCGCTGAAATGATGCCAATGTCAGCACCAAGCAAGCCTCCAAGGGAAGGGCATTCCACCGTCAGAATGCTCTGGCATTCAAGAGAGACCTCCTCAAATCTCCAAATTACACTTTGCCGAAGTTTTTTTCCCCCCTGCCTCTTCTACATTACATTTCTTCCTTCTGCAACTAACAAGCTGTTTTTCCAATGGTTTCAGAAGGAGGAGTGGGGGAATCAGGCGAGACAGGTTAGTCAACATGAAGATAACAATTTAAAAAACAACAACACACATTTGAGGAATCTTTAATCAAATAAACGCTCGCAGCCTTGAAGAAACTGTCATGCCAAAAAAAGAAATTAAAAAAGGTTTTAGCCCTTAAAAATTAACCTTGCAATTTTGGTTCATGATTATATTCAAAAGGAGCATCTGGGTTTCCACTGGCTCGACCCAATTTCTTGGATCCAAAAGGGCTTCTGGGCTATTCTGAATACAGGCCTTTCTGCCTCCTTTTCTCTGAGGCCGGGAAGGCCACATATTGGAGAGCCTCTCCCCGAACGGTCATCCATTCCTTTTGGGAGCAGGCGCTGATTCTGGGAACTGCAGTGTGAATGAAAGTAACTTTCCCAAGTTCCATTTTTCACTACCCTTAGAATTTGATTCAGCAAAGCCTTTTCTCCGGCTCAGCAATACTGGGATGCAGTTTCAAAGGGCTGAGATTGTAGGGTGTCTATTTCTTAACTCCTTTCTTGTGTTTCCAAAGTACTCGGCTGATTTACCGAACGCCAAGAGGAGAACAGCCTTTTCTGGCGAGCGGTAAAACAATCTCCCCTTGGCAGAGAAGGACGGGCATTTTAAGGGCATTTCTACCAAGGACAGAGTTTGTTTTTGTAACCCTCCACGTACTGAAGACATGACTGTTTTTGTTTTTAAATCTAACAATCTTGTCTAAAATCAGATTGAAAAGGTTGGATATGGGTTTAGTTCTACAGGCTTTCCAAAGTGCCAAAGCCACGTGCTATGGCTTTATGACACACGTGGGCAGCCTTGGGTCCTCTTGCTATTTTGAGGATGCAGAATCCCCCAGTCCTTTACCCCTGGCCATGGGGGCTGGGTCTGATGTGAGCTGAAGGCCGAAGCATCTTAGAGAGTCAAGGTTCTCCACCCCAGCATCTAAGTAACTCCTCATTCTCCTCGCTTTTAGAAGAAGAGAGGCGAGTGCTCATGACACACTCGGAGGATGTGTATTTATCTGTGGTCAAGCAGATCTCGGAGGCTTGGTCTCCATGGTGATGTTGACTGGAGCCAACACAGTTTCCCATTCACGACACTAAAGAGACAGATAACATGGCCGGTCTAAAGCGGATACTCAAAAGGGTGGGTCTCAGCATCATGTCAAGAACAGCCAGGCTACAGAAACACATGATTCTTCACTAAATAAGGAAGTGTGTTGCTTTCAAGCGAAGCCTTTAATACTGTATGCAGTTTCCTTAAATTAGAGGCAGGATTGGAGTCAGGAGGCATGATATTGTCTCCCGGATGACTCCCATCACTAACCCTCTTGTGTTTGCTAAAGCTCCTGGTTCTTTTTCTTATTATAAGAAGTCACCTGCAAGAGGAAGGAACCATGCAATATATTAGCAATCCTATGGCCTTTCTGAGCAGCCATTCCCAGAAACTTCATCCTGGCAGGGGGATTCCGGGAATTTTCATCCTGAGAAGGAACTTTCCCATGCTTTTCTCCCCTGGCTGAGACAGCCACTGCTGGGCTGGGAGTTGGCTGCATAGTTGGAATTCCCCTGTGCCGACACAACCCCATCCAGTGCATTTCTTCTCTACTGAGAATTGGCGAGGGCCGGACCGAGAGACCTTTGCTGACATGTTTATTCTTCTACATTATACTTCAGAAGAGAAGAGGGACTTGTAAGAGCAGAATAAGGCCAGATTGTATACATGATTATGCAAAAGCCAAATAACACAAAGTGAATGAGGAAGGGAGGGAGAAGAGCTTTAAGGATTCTTTGTGTGTCTGTCTGGAGGATCCTTAAACCACACTATTTCCCCATCTCTCTCTCTCTCTCTTTCTCTGTCTGTCTCATTCACTCACTCGCTCACATGCACACACACACACAGACAGACACACGTGCAATCCCAGGGCACTCCCAGATGAAGGCGATGATAAATCACTTCTGAGTACTTTTTTAAGATCTCGGAAACTTTGGAGGCGTCAGGATACCTGAGAATTGACTTAAAATTCCCCTGTGCCGACACAACCCCATCCAGTGCATTTCTTCTCTACTGAGAATTGGCGAGGGCCGGACCGAGAGACCTTTGCTGACATGTTTATTCTTCTACATTATACTTCAGAAGAGAAGAGGGACTTGTAAGAGCAGAATAAGGCCAGATTGTATACATGATTATGCAAAAGCCAAATAACACAGACAAAGCGAATGAGGGAGGGAGGGAGAAGAGCTTTAAGGATCCTTTGTATGTCTGTCTGGAGGATCCTTAAACCCCACTATTTCCCCATCTCTCTCTCTATCTTTCTCTCTCTCTCTCTGCCTCATTCACTCACTCACTCACACACGGACACACACCCAGACACATGTGCAATCCCAGGGTACTTTTTTAAAATCTCGGAAACTTTGGAGGCGTCAGGATACCTGAGAATTGACTTAACAGCACACCATTACCCTGTTTCCCTGAAAATAAGACAGGGTCTTATTAATTTTTGCTCCCAAAAACACAGTAGGGCTTATTTTCAGGGGATGTCTTATTTTTTTCATGTACAACCATCTACATTTATTCAAATCCAGTCATGTCATCTTCTGGTGGCTGCACAGTGGTGAAGGGTGGGATTTCACTTAATTGGGGATTATTTGGGGGGCATTACCCTGTTTCCCTGAAAATAAGACAGGGTCTTATTAATTTTTGCTCCCAAAAACACAGTAGGGCTTATTTTCAGGGGATGTCTTATTTTTTTCATGTACAACCATCTACATTTATTCAAATCCAGTCATGTCATCTTCTGGTGGCTGCACAGTGGTGAAGGGTGGGATTTCACTTAATTGGGGATTATTTGGGGGGTAGGGCTTCTAAGGGTGGGATTTCACTTATTTGGGGATTATTTTGGGGGTAGGGCTTCTATTACGAGAATCCTGAAAAATCATAGTAGGGCTTATTTTCAGGATAGGTCTTATTTTACGGGAAACAGGGTATGATTATAATTATATATACAATAGTGATCATAGAGGCAAAATCCGGAGTCGGAGTCCCGAAGGCAGTTCGTGTCGTTCTGCCAACTCCTGCGACATTGCT